TTCCACGTCGGCCATGTGCATATATAAATATATTTTCCATGCCATTTGCTTTGCCGAGTGCAACACTTGTCCTGGAATCGGTGCTGTGTCATGTCGGCGTTAAATATTTCATGTTGCGGAGGGGATGCAATTAGTCTCTACATGGGTGATCTTTATGGGGTACGTGAAGTCGTTTGAGTTTCCGTATATGGATTTACGATATTCAGGGATTTTGTATGGGCTCATTTCCGTTTCTCCATAACTTTGTGAATGCAGCTCGAATTCAAAGATGACCACCAATGAAATGTGGCAAATGGAATGATTGGCAGAAAAGGATGAGTTTGATGCAAGTGCAAGCAAAGTAGGTTGTAGTGCAAGGTGATTGAATGGCTCTTCAATGTCCGATCGAAAGCATGGAACACAAACTCTCAGTTTTTATTTGTTTTATTCCCCCCAAAATACTTGACAAAAAGCACCCGGGTGATAGATACTTTTCAGTGAGCAGCAATGCAATAATTTGAAAGGTCAATCAGGAAAAAAATTGCATCCACACATTCATTTTTTTTTACTTTGTGTCATTTCATCTTTGGCTTGGGGAACTATTTTTTTTTAATTGATTTTTATTTATGTATTTTTTTTTATGTTTTTAGCCATGACCATTCAATTTTTCAGTCCTTTAAGGTTCTGCCAAAAAAAAAAAATACAATTTGATGTTCCACTGATCAAATTTATTATACTGGTCAGTAGCAAATTGCAAAAATTGCTTTCTGTGTCCCGATATTTATTTTTGGCACAATTTAAAAAAAAGGTATTCACTTTTTTTTCAGAGCACATCAAGCTTTTGAAATCTCTTCCAATTTTTGTTCTCAAGTTTGGCATGTATAAAAGTTTGATCAATACAGATTTGCCTTGCAATTTACACATTTCAGAAAAAAAACTCCTGTTGCTGATCCTAACCCTGAATGCATAACTATGCCGAAATAGATTTCTATAAATGTATTATTATTAATTATGAAAATCTGATGTGCTTAGAAAAAAAACAAGGGCAGATTTGGAATCCGCACAAAAAAAGAAGAAAAGATTATTTGCCTCTCTGATTAAAAACAGTAGAAAAACGTGTTAATAGTGCTTGTTAATAAAATGTTATTTAAGACTTCCGTTTAGATTTGGACCTGATGAAACTCTGCTAGAGACCTGTCTGGCCCACGGACCCAAGCTTCCCCACCCCTGATTGACATACTCAGCTATTCCTCCATATTGATGCATGACCATTCCCCTTTTCACGATGCTGACATGACAAAAAAAAAAAAATTGTATCGAATCAGCAATACGTTTATTCAAGCATTGTTGGGTTTAGTATCTGTTTTGTCACTGATGCATTGGAATGTGTGTGATGGACCACGGCATAACACTCATTTAGATGTCATGTGACGCAAAAAATACGGCATGTACGAGTGCAAAAAAGGACTTCAAATGAAAATGAACAACTGAAAAACAGTGATAGACGGTTTTCAGTGGGCAGCGATGGTGTTTTATCACAAACTGCTTTCTATTTTACAAAAACGATAGCGTTGAAACCATAAATCCAATTTGCCACTGTCCTGTGAAAGACACTTATGTCCATTTTTGTCATTAGCATTTTTTTTAAACGTGAATGGGGTGTGTCCACATTTCGGACGTTCCATTTATGTAAACATTTTTAAATGACAAAAATGGACCTGCGTGTTTTTCACAGGACAGTGACGAATTGTTGCAATTCCCATCATGCATCTTTTCGATCAGAGGATGGGGGACGCTTTTCCTATGCTGGGACCATTTCAGTTTTTAGTCTGTCGATGTATCACCATGCTCTCTTTTATAGTGTCATTTTTTTTTTCTTCAAGCATTGAAGGAAAAGTTGTGTTTTCGTATCAATCCGCTCTGTTTTTGCTGTCATTGCATCACAATGTGCTTTTCTCCCCCTCCAGGCTGTTGGCCATTAATGGGCCATAGCATAACACTCATTAGCATGTCTAGTACGTGAAAAAAAAATAGTACCAAAAAAAAACAATGGGGGATCTGGATTTTGATGGACTGAACTCAACTTTATTTATAGAGCACTTTAAAAACAACCACAGCTCCATGCAAATTGCTGTACATCAAATGAAAGTCAGACATAAAGGGAGTTGAAACATTTAGATTGTTCGCATAAAAATCCGTGAGCACAATAAAACACTAAAACAACAGCGATGAGATTTTTTTTTTTAACACAGCAGATTCCACGCCCCCCTTTTACAATGTTGACCTTGCTTAAAAGCTGTTTAAATTAGCGACAGCATTTCAAGGCAATGTTGCTCTCTATTTCCGTCGCGGTTGCATCAGAATGTGCCGTCTTCCGGGCTGTTTCGCTGTTAATGGACCGTGGCATAACACCCATTAACACGTTTCTAATGTGACACAAAAATACGGTTTGTATTATCATTAAAGAAATTATGATGAAGCCGTTAGTTTAAAGAAGAAGAAGAAAAAAAAATCCCATTAG